GAGGCGCTCGGCGGCCCCGGGTCTCTCGCAATCCGTGTGCGGGTACGTGCCCCGTCTCTCCCTTGGCCGTGCCCTCCCTGTTACACGCGGTTTGCCCAGTTGGACCTGAGAACCCGTTTCGTGCATCAGGGTCACAGGGAAAACGGCGAGTAAAAAGATAATCCCTGTCTCTAAGGTTGTACAATTGAAGCCACCAGTCAATTTTCATACTTGTCTTGGATCTCTACCTGGGATTTGCTCTTCCACCAAATGCTCTAAATGAAGTTGCATTGGCTTAATTTTGTTGTTCTAGGTGAGCAAATAAAGCGCTGCATTTTTTGTCGTGTTATTTTTAATAAAATGAGCAGAACGTTCTTAATTCTGAGGGATCTGTGCAGATGGGTTTGTGCCAAGCAGCACTAATATAAATTACTGAGCCTTCCTATTTATCATGATTTGCTTGGGGGTTTTTTGCTATCATTGGGAGGCACGTGCATGCTTTTTTACTTAAATGCCCCATTCTTTTTTCTTATAGCACCAAGCAGTAAACGAATAGATTGCTGGGGAAGTGAGGGGCGTGACAGTAATAAAAGAGCATTTGGGGGCAAATCGAATTGCTGTCAATAGGATAATCTATTGCACATTTCAGGAAATATGAAGCCCTCTTGCTGCTGGGTAACAGCAGGCTAACGTGTTACTTTCCAAACATATGTATCCTACAGATCTGTACAGATTTCAACATAACAAAGAAAAAAGTGTGTTTCAGAAAAGATGGCAATGGCCTATGTCTGGTTTGGGGGACAGAAAGGAGCAACTGGAAAGGCAGAGGATGGGGCTTAGTTTGGGGCGTGTGACATTTAAACTGCTGCTGTACTACTGCTGTGGTGATTGAATTTGTATGAGTAAAGGGCATGTCCTTAAAAGCAATAAATAGATTAAAATAAAAACATTGAAGGTAAATCCCTAGAGGACACTAACTGAAAGAAGCAGGATAGAGGAGGGCTTACCCACTACTCACTAAATTGAGAAGAGAAACTGTGGAAGGAAACTATAAAAAGATCAAAGGCAGGGTGATACAGACAATGGTAAAAATGATGTCGCAGCCCTAAAATTTACTAAGAGGAGATCACTAAGTACTTAGAAATGTATAGATACTTTTATCTCTAGGGACTTAATTGGCATCCCAGAGAAGAAATACTAGTAAGTATAAAACCCCCAGATGTTCCCTTTTCAGGGCCCTTTCAAGAATCAAGATGTAAGTTAATGGTTTTGTAGTTGGTTAGTGACTTAGCAATGCCAAGGTAGCTCAGAGAATTTGAAGCATCTCTGGCAAGAAAAACTTTTTCTATGTATTTGTGATCCTTGGCATGGTATAAACTCTCGATGTACAGCACAGGTGTGGGGGGTTCTTACCTTTTTAAAATAGCAGAGAGTGCAGGCTTTGAGATTTGTTTGGGAGCTGTACAAGCTTTCTTCCTGCAGTTTCCTTCACATGACTTCTAAACAGCACATTGTATTTTGTGAGCTAACTCTTT